AGATCTCACTCTTCGTCCGCTCACCTCTCTTTACTTCTGATTTTCTTTTGGTTTCCTTCAGTCGACCCCTGTCCTACCTTTTCTCTGTCCCCTCCTTCACCCTCTCCTCGACCTTTACTGTGGCCAGTGGAACAATCCCACTGTTTCCTCTCTGCTGCTTTTCCATGGAGCAGAACACACTGCTATCAGGCTGCTATCAGAAACATTAGAGGAGCTTAACAAAAGGAGGCAATACCTGTGCCCCTGCCCCTGCACCCTCTCTTTCTCTATTTAGCCATACATTTTCAGATGTGAACTCCAGATCTGGTGCTGCATTGGGGATTACTCAAAATAAATTGAACCACAGGTCTGATGGACAAATCAAATGTGATACCGAGGTTGGTTGTTGTACCCAGCATGCATTGCTACCATTAACTTATGGTAAAAAGGCTGAAAGCTCTCACATGCACACAAGCTGTCTGACTCTCAAAATGTCTGGAAAATTGGGTCCCGACATTTTCTGTAGTTTGTTTTTCCCATAAAACAAACACAGCAGGAGATGGGTCAGATGTGTACATATCCAGAAAAGGGTGGCACCTGGGTGGAGTGTGCAGGAGATGGAACATAACGAATAAATGAAGCTGCAGAAATCATGTTTTCGTCTGAGTCTTCTGCGTGTTTGCCTCCTCTTTTTCATCTGGAGATATTTGCAGTACTTTTACAATTTCCAAAGGGAGCTTTAAGGAAAAGATACGGAAATATCCAGAGGAACTGACACAGACTCTTGTGTTCTCACATAGAGCTCCTCAGAAAAATTAGAGGAAAAAGGCCCAATGTTCAGTGCGTGTCTGAAAGCGGAGACACTCACACGTCTGGTGTAATGTTGTGTGCTAATGTTTGACTATGAGGCCCAGAAACATGAACTACAGCTTTGACCTTTGGCACTGACATTTTCCAAGTGAACGGCCGCTCTCACTGGAGCTGCCTCACATTGACTGAAGGTGTCAATTACGTTGCTTTGGATTTCCTTGAAGTGTTTAGACATCGCTGAATGAGCGGCGAAACATATAGTATGTAGTAGCATATATTAGGTCAAGCACTGCTGGAACAAAGACCTGGTTAATGGGCATGTAAATTATAGATGGCGAGAGATGTGGTTAGAGAGCCGAACAGGAATGTCTTGAGTTACGCACATGCACATTTGAAAGGATATAACAGGGCGCTTGTTACAAATAAAGCAGCGTTAAAGATAAACATAAATGGTGCCCCGCCATATCTTCTACAGATTGTAAATCCAAATAAGAACCCGCCCCTGTAGCGGCCAATTCTATCTCCTATATTGCAATTGTGGTGATTTAGAGCATGTTTTCCTATGAACCCAGTTAATCTGAGTGATGATTATTTGAAGCGGTACCAAATCCATCAAACGCCGTTTAGCCAACAAATGACAAAGCCGCGCTATTAAAATTCCACCGAGAGCGTTCCATAAACTTTCTGACACATTTTAGTGACTTCAGCAGAAAGCTCACCGTGCAGCCGAACATTTGAGCTTTAATGCACGAGACTGCCTCATCCGCGGAGCTGCTTTTTCATTCCATAACAGAAGAGAAGCCCTAACGCTATCAGGCAGGTTTGGAGTTTAGAGGAGGGCCGTTCAGAAGAACCCCTGCCGACTCCCCTTCAAGACTCTTATCTCTTCAAGCACATTTCCTAAAGCCGTCACTTAAATTAATTTTGAAGACGACTGCATTTTAAGGAATAAGATATAAACTTTTCTTCTCTTGGCTGTTCCCCGTGGCTGGTAGACAGCCGCGCGGTGATATCGTAACAATTTGGGTTTTTAACTTTGACTGTGTTTGGGTCTTAAACTCTTGCAGCTACAGCTCGAGTGTGGCCGAGTACATACTGCGTATTGTGTGCGGTGTGTGTGTGTTTCACTTTGTATCTTCCTGCGAAATCTCTGTGATACAGTTACTACTGCACAAGCAGTTCAGAAATCAGTTGCACTTTCATATAGCACCAGAAAATACATTCACCGAGCACTTTATGAGGAACACACTGAACACAGCCTCACTTGTTTGTGGAAACACTTTGCAAACATTCATTTTTCTGACCTGGTTTTAACACGAAGAGAAAAGTTTCAATCACATGTTCGTCAGGGTTGATATCCAGGCGGTGCAGGGCCACAAACTAATTGTCTGGACACTAAGAAGTGTATAAGTATGTTTGCTTAATTGTGAAACTGAAGGTTGAGGACGTCAGCTGAGTAGCTGTCCTTCATGTGTGGCCCAGGATGGATTAACATTCACGCAAAGTTCTTCAGGATTCAGATGTGACGACTAGAAAAGGAATTGCAAAAGTAAAAGTGTTGAACTCATGCTCATTTTCCTGAAACCAATTTGAGACGACTGTTACTTTCTGACATGGTGCATAATCATGCTGAAAGTAGCCATTAGAAGATGGTAAATTGTGGCCATACAGGGCTGCACATGTTCAGCAACAATCCTCAGATAGACTGTGGCACTTAAATCACAATTGATTGGTATTAAGGGGCCCAAAGTGAGCCAAGAACATTCCCTTCACCATTACAGCAGCAGCAGCAGGAGCCTGGACTGTTTACAAGAGGCAGGTTGGACCCATGGATTCATGCTGCTTATGCCAAATTCTGACTCTGCCATCTGCGTGCCTCAGCAGAAACACAGACCCAGTCACCAACTGTCCAGTATTAGTGAGTCTGTGTCCTCGGGCTACATCCACACTACTACATTTTTTAACATCCATCGCTGCTGCTGCTACGTTTATGCCTGCGGTCCACTCTACTTTAGAATGGTAAATCCAAAAACACTTACTCGCTAACTAATCGTCGGTCGAAGACAAGAAATCCCTGCTCTTACTCTGCATCATTGCTGTTTCCCCATGTGCACACTGAGATGCTTTATCTCATCACAGAGTGGTTATCGGAGTTACTGCAGCTCCAACCAGTCTGGCCTTGAGTGGTGCAATAAACAGAAAATCCCATCTGTTGCAACCAGTCATGATTCCTCCACACTCGGATGTTTGCTGTGACCATCAGCTGAAGCTCCTGACCTGTTTCAGAGGCTCAGTGAGTATGTGTCCAATGAGACGGCCAAAATGTACATGGATATGTAAATTCAGGACCCCATTGGGTGCTGTTCCCTGATTAAAGCCAAACAACACATGCTCTTAGACAAGAACCAGTAACGGTACAGTTTATTCTAACTCATCTTAATTCACTCCACACAGCAGCTTCTCAGGGACTTCCTTTATAGCCCTGTGTAATGATCCTGTCCAGCAGGCGGAGAGGTAAAAGCTTTTATTATCAAAATACTAATAACTACATCCGATCCATCTCATTAATCTGTATCTGCGTGTGTATCTGTTTGCAGCCGCTGCTCCTCAGCCGCGTCGGCCTCTTAAAATATCACACATTCCACCGAGCCGAACACGCGATGAACATTTAATTACCGCAGACGGCGAGCCTGCGCAGCCCGATTCCGCAGCACTCGAGGTAGATTTACAGATAACGAAGCCTCGGGCGGGATACGACTTCAAGGTAGACAGCCTGTCAACGTGAGTGGCAAGTGGGGGGGGGAAGGAAACCTGGTCGACTGAGGCTGAGGAGGGAGGGGCTGGTAATAAATTATGTGCCTCGAGGCCAAACAATGACTGGTAAATCTTTAGGGTTTTAAAAAAAAAGTATTTTTAGCTTTACTAAAACAGACAGAAAATATCTAGATATTGTTGAAGAGAGAAATGACTACAGTGTTTTTGACTGCTAATGAGATAAAATGCTTTTTTACCTCGATGTGAAATTAAAATCTGTCGTCCTGTAGAGACCAAACAACCATGGATAAGCAGTGGTGTATTAAATCCACATTTTCTGAATAGAAAAAACAATTATCGCTTTCAGCCATGAGATTTCTCTTTGTGATTCACCTTCGCAGACGTTCGGATCAGACTGCGAACATTTGAACACAGACCGTGGCACAGATCTGGATGTCAAAGTAACAACGGCAGTTTATCAGTGCTTTTGGCGGACACCATGATAGTTTGGACAGCTTGCAGGAACCAAAGAGGAGCTTGTCATATCACCACACAGACGCAGCGAAAGTGTTTTGCACGTCCCGCAGACTCAGAAATGATCTGTGGGTCCAGAATTAACTGTACTTACCCCTAAAATCCACACGCTGTCGGGGGAAATAAGAATTAAAGCGTGGGATTGCCTCAGTGGTTTACTGCTGCATATACCAATACTAATGATCTCTGGCAGTGGTCCAAACTCTGTCTCGTGTGCGGCTGGTGGATATTGGTCTCATTTTAATCTCAGCATGAAAACTATCACAGAAATACAGCAAACGCTTGAGGAGGAAGTGAAAATGCATGAGGTGTTTTAAGTTGTAGCCTCCCAATGCTGGGAACATTAAAGGAGACATATTAAAGTTCCTAATTTTCATTTGTGTTATTGCTTGAAAGGGTTTACATGTTAGGAAAACTCATCACTTTCCTCAGACTGTCCATTGTTGCTGCAGCTCCTCTTTTTTAGCCTCTGTCTCAAACTCTTGGTTTTCGCCTGGGTCTCTTTACTGAGGCTACACTGTAGTAAGAAAGGTTTATAAAAGATGAAACCTGACAACAGACATCTTTAATATTTCATATTTTAGCAAACACCTTAACCTGCATCCAGCTTTTTTCCTGTTTCATCCTTAATCTCTTTGTCATTACGGAGGGAGGGGACCATCGTGTATGGGTGATAATCAGTGGCTGAGCGAAGAACGGAGCACAAAGATGATTATCATGATTCAGACTGCAATTGTTGCATTCCTGATGAGCTCCGCCACACACACACACACACACACACACACACACACACAAGCAACAAACCACGCTGTTGTTTAGTTAGAGTAATGAGGGTGGTGTACGGTAACTGTGTTTAGGCAGGAACTATACATACAGCCCAGAGTGGTGAGAAGGAAGGAAGCAACAAAGAAAGAAAGACTCACTGCTGCCTCGTCCTCCCTGCTGTCGCTGGTGTCCTCACTCTTGTGGTGGCCGGCTGAGGATCGAGTGTCCCTCTTGCGGCTGGCATCCGTCCCCTCCGTCTGTCTCTCTCCATCTGGGCCAAGATGAAAACATAAGACACTGGTAAGAAAGCCAGCACGCACCATCATCTTCACCATTGTCACCATCATCACCATCACCATCATCATTTTAATCATCATTAATAGGATTACTGTCAGTCTGTCATAAACAGCAATGAATACAATTATGAATATCTTCATCCTCATGATCAACAATGATTTCAAGCGATCGCTCACTCTCTTTCCAACCGAATTTCTCTACTTTAATCAAACTGAGTAAAAAGTTTTCTACAGACAGGGAGATTGAGCTGGAGGGAAAAATAAAACTAGAAAAGTGAAAGGAGATGAGTCAGAAGAATAAAAACCTGCAGGTGGGAAATGTGAAGCGAGAGGAGTGAAAATAGAAAAAGAAAAGTGGAGGGGGGAGATTGAGAAATAGAGAGACATAAAGAATAGCTTTTCTTGCAGTGAAGTGGAGCTGTTAGGATGCTGTCATGCCACAGATGGATTATGGGACTTTTGCTGCGCAACGATGACAGTTGCAGAGGCCGGGAGAGAACAACCGGAATTTAAATCCACTCATTACGAGTGTGTGCATCTGTGTTTCTGTGTATGTTTTTGCTTGTCCGTCACAGAGCATATGGTCAAAGCTGCCATTTCTTCTTGCTGCTAGCAAAACACACACACACACACACACACACACACACACACACACACACACACACACACACACACACACACACACACACACACACACACACACACANACACACACACACACACACACACACACACACACACACACACACACACACACACACACACACACACACACACACACACACACACACACTGTCATGAATGGTCAGACATGAGCACAATCCAGTACAGAGCAGTAACAGGATATTCAACACTTTATGAGACCAAGGTTATTTGGAGTAACAACGACTGAACAGATCTCGTAAAAGCTCTCTACGAGGGTTTCTGCCTCTGCGGGCAGTTAATATATAAAAAGAGTGAATCCATACCCTATTCAATCCAATTTTTTAAATTTCTATTACACTGCATTCGATCCCATTTGGCTGACATGGTTCATGAATGCACTACATTGCCGCAGCTGAGACGAGGCCGCCATAAAAGGTGGCGTCTGTGCCATTGACTGCCCTATAAAAGGCAGGGGGGGGGATGGGAGGGAGCGGGGCGGGTGGGGACGCTGTGGTGTCCCAAATGCATTACACTGAAAGTGGTTCATTACTGTCTGGTGAGCAGAGGTGGCTGGAGTATGCGCACGTGCATACAGCCGCACACTCAACGCCGTGCGCACACACCCACACACTCACGCATGAGGGGATGGATTGTGATTAAAAGACAGAATGGGCAGAACGGGTGGCTATAAAGCATAATGAGTACTAATGGTTTTCCAATATGTCCCCTTAACAATGAGTCTGAGTGGGCTGAATTAGATGGGGGGGCTCTGGGGTAAGTGGTGCACGTGTGTGTGTCAAGGAGAGGAGAACAGGCAGATAGGTGCACGTGTGCATGTTCACTTATCATTCATGTGCAGATACAGAGAGAGAGAGAGAGAGAGAGAGAGAGAGAGAGAGAGAAAGGCGACAGAGGAAACGCTGTGAAAATCGATCAAAGCCAAAAACACACAAAATGAAAATAAAATGTAGCAGAAGAGAGACGTTTTTGCTCCGAGTCGCTCTGCATCTCATGGAAGTCTCCGGGAAACATAATCTGCGTAGCTGATTTGTTTGCCTCATTTGTTTGGAAATCATCCTCCCGTCTCCCTCTATTCACTTTGCAATTTCCCTGATTCCACACAACTGAAATGAAAATCTGCTTTGATCGGAAAATTCACCTCCTTTTGAAGAATAAATGAAACAGATCACGTTCACATTGCACTCAGCTTTAAACTTCCTCTTTCTCTGATTGTGCACCCGCACATCAGCTGCTTCCAGACATGCCCTGAACTACGGATAGTGTCCTGAAGGTATCTGGAGGGACAGCATGTGAGAACGCAAATGTTGCTCCCTGCATTTTTCTGAACTTTTCTTGTCAGCGCATTTGAAAATGTCTGGAAAATGTCACGGTGAGTGTGTGACGATTCTAACGAGGAGCAGTACACCCTAATGTCAACTTAATTAAAATGAGATTCAAGAGCTTTTTCTAATAAGGGTCAATGCCGGCTGTAAACAAAAACACGGGATTTCGGCAGCAGCATCACGTCCTGCCTCCTGCATGTTCTCTCGACGCCACCCATTCACCTGAATACCCATTTCCTGCTGCTGCAAACATGTCTGACCCAGAATATCTTCTGCTACATTCCTCACATGTTAAAGGCAAAGTTCATGTCTGAGACGGCTCTAGCGTTGCATGGGTTCTGACTCATATCCACTCAGGGCAAAGTGCACTGGGAGAGGTCACCGTGGCTCAAAAGAAAGGAGAAGGTGACAAAAAAAACATAATTCCAGACAAAGGGAGGCGAGGACGCTTTCGGCTGAGCTGCAGGAGCCGTGCTGCGGAAGCCGTCAGCTCGCGGTCCGACTTGACACGGACAGTCTGAGCGCGGCCTCTGGGGTCTGTGAAAGCACCAGCAGATCAAAGTGCGAACACCAGAGAGTTGCTGTGCTGAACTCCGTCTCACTTCGAGTCTCACTTTCCTTCCATTGTTCAGCCAAAAATAGCAGGACCTCTGAGTTTTTGATCTTACAACTGTTTCAAAAACTGCCTTTGTCAAAGGCTCGAACTGAAGATTTTAGCAGCTTTGTCAAAATGTCTCTGAATCTTCAGGATGCAGTCGTATGTTAATTTCACAAACAACGAACATCCCAACAATAAATGACAGTGTAAACAGACCGATGATAAATTACATGAAAATGGAAAATAAATAGTAAATTCACTCCTCGCCTTTTTATTCATCTTGAGCTTCATTATGCCGTGTATTTCCACCCTTTCCTCTGAGTACACACTGCTTGAGTCACTGCATGAGTCAACTGGCAGCACATCTCGCTCTAACCATTTATTTGAGACTGTTATGAGCAGGCGATGCACCTGGGAGCGAGGTGAGACTCCTCTTTGCCTGCCCTCATTTATATAAGTGATCACCTTAACTATGAAAGAACATGGCAGAACACAAAAACCTCATCAGTCCGCACTTGGAAATGAAACAAGCGACAGTTTCAAACCTGGAAACGGAGCCGGCGAACCAACCAGCCAACCAACGCTAACCTAGCTGGAAATAACCTGTGAGAAATAAATGGTTTCAAAAACACAGAGCATCTTTATGAATCTCAACCTGAGGACAGTGTGCTGTGATTTGCATGTCAAAGCAACACTGAGGCAGTAGAGATGGTTAATCCCCCTCCTTCCCTCCATAATATCTGGAGAAAAAGATTCACAGCATTAGAGCGAGACAAAGAAAATCACCTGTGGAAACATCAGCCAGATGTCAGAAAGCTGCAGATCAACCTTCAGAAGAAAACCTCAACAAAGAATTCACTTTCAAATCATTTCTCTTCCCTTTAACGTCCCTCAAGCGTCGTCTTTTGAGGTCTGACGAGAATCACTTTTTAGCTAAACTTCTTTCCTGAGAAAATAAAAGTTCTTTAGCGCTAAAAAGGCTTCTCTGCATTCTGTATATGCAGAGAACTGCGTGTGCAACGTGGAAACAGCTTTCTGATGCTTTTCATATCATAATAGTTGCATTTAAATCACTAGCACTCATTTCAATTTGTGTGGATAAATGTTTGAACATTTTTAAAAAGGACATTTACTGCTAATATATTCTCCGAATAAATTTTGCAACCATCCCAAAGGGAGAATATAATGAGAAATCACTTGTAGTTTGTGTGTGTGTGTGTGTGTGTGTCTAAATGTATACATCAAGTGTGGCCTACATGTGGCTAGTCAGACGGAAAGTTGTGGCGCTGCGTTGGGAATGACTCGTAAATAATAGAAGCAGAGGTTTTATGGACAAATGAAATGGTACCATGATATCAAGAGGTTGGTGGTTTTATCCCACACTGGGACTTTTATTCTACCCAGCATGCATAGCTATAGTTCACTCATGGCTGGACAAGAGGCAGGAAATGACGTATGAGTTCCGCTGCGGAGATCACGTCTTTTTGTTTCGCCCAAATCTCGTTGACTTTCCAGGGTGACCTCAGTGTTATGCATGTTTGGTTGTTTTTTTCATCCTGACATATTTGCCTGCAGTATTCTTACATACATTTTACTACAGGTAGGTGGCAGGAATAGTTCCAGGAGAACAGGACTCGGACGGCTCCTCGTAAAAACTCAGGAGAATGTCCGAACTTCAGAGCGAGCTTGAAAAGCTGCTACAGACAACGACACAGCGTCCGCAAGGTGAGCTGCGGAGTGTCGGGAGTCGGTCCTCTGGACTGTGATGGCACTTCCTGGAGCCTCCGTGCCGCCTCTGATGAAGTAATGAGGAGCAGACTGGCAGGTTAATGGAAGCCAATTGACTACGAGCTCCGCCACCAGCAGAACTGCAGGAGGAATACTAATGATTCAGGAGCCTCCTCTCTAATGTTCTGCCTAAACTCTTCATATCCCCCAACCTTAAACAGCAGCACTGTGTTTACTGTGCAGATAAGACAGTGGAGAGCGAGTTCCGTAACCTCCAGAGGACGCAGATAGCGAGTGGCTTTTGGAGCGTTTTTGTAGATTAAGACTGTGACGGAGTATCAAAAGCCATAAAAAACATCTTGTCATCTTATCCGAGGTTGATGTGGGTGGTAGATAAAAAAATGAGATTGGGGAAAACTTTCTTCCAGCTTCCTCGACTTTGGAGCATAGAGAGTAATACGTTCACCTTGCCTGGTTGCCCTTTTAAAACTAATGTTATTCTAAACTCGAAAGCTTTCAACGAACCGAAGCTGTCAGAGCGCTCATCTCCGCCGTATATGCATGTGTGTGTATACGTGTGTATTTCCAGCGAGTTTGTGCGTATATGCATACAATATATATACGCGTGTGCATGTTGAGTGTCTCTGTCTTGTTTCATCTTCGAACAAG